AAGGAACAAGAGATTAGGCGGTTACACTGTAGCTTCCGAGAAAAGAGATCTTATCTCGAAAGCTGGGGGCAACTGTTGGGCCCGAATTTAGCCCGTTAGCTGAATTAATGGGCCGAATAGTAGAAACCGTTCGCAAAGCATTACGAGCCCATTAGGAAGCCTCCCCTCAAATGAGGATCACATGAAATCGTTACCTATCAGTAAAAACAGGTCACGAACAAAAGACTCGGGACCTCGTTTACAAAACAGCTAACGAGAAGCAGCTCCGGGGAAACGTGCAAGACCTAGTCAAGAGGAAGCTGTTGCGAATCCCGCAACTCACGGAGATAATCATGGAGGCTTCGCCGGAAGAAGTTGGACGTGACCTAGAGCTATATAAAGAAGAGAAGAGATCAGAGAGGGGAGATTCGACTCATTCAAGAGAGAGAGACTCCAATACACCTTGTTCTTAGTCATTCTCTATAAATCATTGTTCTTTCTATTCGGATCAAAAGGATCATCTTTGTAAACTCTTTTATTACCAAAAATCAATATAAACAACGTATTCATTCATACAAGTTCCAACAGGATTCAGCCCACGATTATCTTTTCCCAATCTATACCTAACCTAAACTAGGAAGTGAGTTTTATCCCTCACAGATGTGGACTAGCCCATTTTGCAACTCTACTGAAGGCTACTAATTCTCAGAGGACTGCTAGTGTTGTCAAGGTTTGTCTTCTTAGACGTTCTATTTTGTTGACGAGCTCTTGCCAAACCCACAATTTTGCTGTAGTGAAGATGCAGATTTAGATTCCATATATAAACACTAGTCTCTTAGTATTTTATGTCTGTTTGATTTAAGATTTGTTACAGATGTTTAGTATATTGATTTGGGTTCGTCTCGTCCTATATATATCTAGCTAAGATTATTTCCATGAGTTAGAATTGAGACCATTGTGGTATTGTAGGTTTCAAATGGTAACGATGAGGAAAGCGATGATGATGATGAAGATGAGGATAGAAACATGAACGATGATCAAACCACAGACATGATGGTGGATGATGCATCTGAGCATAAACCTGAAGTTATGCCTGTTGATGAACCAAAAGCCGATGATGGCTGGACGCCTGTGCCATGTAGAAAAAACAAGGGCAAGAGAAGAAATTAAAACGTTTAGGTTTGCAAACGGTGTTGTGTATTGCTTAACAGTTTTGGTTGTTTTAGTTTTTACACTTGAACACATTTCTGAAGCAAGGTTGCCTTATTATTTAAATCACATAGTAATCTGCTTTAGGTTCTCATTGAATCTGCAGATTCTCTGCTTCATATCTGAGAGAATCAAACAATTTAGTCGATAAATAGCGTTCTCCTCCACTCGCAAAAATCACCTGCAAAAACCAGAGAAGAACCTGTTAGTTTAACTCAAAAGACTAGTTATGGTGAGTCAAAGACAAAGCTATACCACAATGAGTTTCCCTGCGTTCTCTGGACGCTTTGCAACCTTTAAAGCAGCTGCTGCTGTGGCTCCAGAGGATATTCCCACCTGCAATATTATCTCACTGATCACAAACTCATACGTTTCATTGTTTATACACCGAGAAAAGAACCTTAACCGAACGTACCAACAATCCCTCTTTGAGAGCAAGAAGCTTGGCTGTTTCAATGGCTTCTTCACTGGACACCTGAATCAAAAAGACTTCAGGTCTCATAGCCATTGTTTCACCATTCAAGAAGTAAATCAATCTCAGCTACTTACCTGAAGGATTTCATCAACAATGCTTAAATCCAAATTGGTTGGGATGATACCAGCACCCATTCCCTGGATCAGATGTGCACCTTACAAAATATGAAACCAAGTATTTTATATATGATGTTTAGAAAAAATCAAGAACTTGGACGAGAGTGTTATGTTTATAGCCTCACCTGGTTCTCCTCCGCTGAGTACTGGACTTTCTGTAGGTTCCACTGCACAAACCTGTTGATCAAGATTATCTGAGTTTCTTGAAAACTCTAAGATTCAGTGTTAGTTTTCAAGAACTAACCTTAACGTCTTTATTCATCTCCTTTAGGAACTTTCCTACTCCAGTAACAGTTCCACCAGTTCCAACACCAGCTACAAATATATCTACTTTCCCTGCTGAATCTCTCCATATCTCCGGACCCGTAGTTCGGTAATGAATCTATACAAGAAACAAAATCATGAAAGAAAGACTCCAAGAAGATTGACTTGATGCATGACATTATGATATATAAACCTCAGGGTTTGCAGGATTTTCAAACTGTTGTGGAACAAAACCACCAGGAGTTTTGCTTAATATCTCTTCAGTTTTCTCCAGCATTCCTTTAAAGCCTATGCTCTTATCTGTGAGATGTAGCTCTGCACCTAATGCTTTTAAGATGATTCTCCTTTCTAAGCTCATCGATGCAGGCATCAAAATTGTCACTTTATAGCCTCTTGCAGCACCAATGCATGCTAAACCGATACCGGTGTTACCAGCTGTTGGCTCAATCAATGTACTCTAAACCAAGAAAACACAAAAATTTCATTCCATCTATGAAACTATGAAATATGGAGAGATAAAACTATATATGGCACTCTTGAAAGTTGTTTCTATTAGACCTCTCCAGGAGTAATCAATCCTTTGTCTTCTGCATCTTTGATCATACTATAAGCGATTCTGTCTTTTATGCTGGAGCAAGGCTCCATCATCTCAAGCTTGGCTGCTATACGGGCCACGCAACCGTCAGCAATTTTGTTCAGATACACCATTGGTGTGTTACCAATCAACTGTACAAAATGCCAAAACAGAGCAGTGTCTTGTAAACATGTTCTTTATTTCAAGACAGAGCAGATTGATTCATATAAACCATATTTTAGAGAGGTTTTACGTCAGTCACATCGTTCTTGATCAAGCAGCGATCTTCCATGTTGGTTTCTCTTTAAAACTCCTGCAGATGTAATCTGAAATTTAAAGAAGTAGACACACAATCCTCAAAATATTCAACGACCTTCCATATTCTCTCTCCATATACTAACTGAAAGTAGCAGAGCTACATGATGTTTTTGTGGATAAACCAGAAAGAACCTTTTAAAAAAAAGTCGTACCTTCAAAGATTGAACGAAAGTGTCAATGGAAGAGAAGAAGGAGAATGAACCGATGAGTTTCTAAATCCATACCAGATTGTATATATACACAGATTGATACTGTACATAGACTAGTATAGAGTTGTTGTACAGTAGTATAATAATAATAATAAGATGTGTGTATGTTTTTTTTTAATGCGATTTACAAATATTTTGAATGGGATGTTCACATGTGGACCTGTGATGCTCTGTACGATATGTGAGTAGTTTATGTCATTTTGCATAAATGTGAACAAATATAGCATCAAGTTGGTGTCATGTTGCGTAGTGTCAAGATTACATCAAACACTAAAATATAAAAGCTTTCAAAGCATTATTATCTTGACCCTAATTAAATTACTAATCTTATGTAATCAAGATTGGATTGATCACCGCGATCCTAATGACAGAGAGGGCATAAGCAGATAACGAGGGCATTATGACCCTTCCCAACATATAAACATAAATTTATAGTTCCATCATCAAATAAAATATAACAAAGTGTTCCACAAGCAACTGCAGCATATATCAAATTCAAAAGAAAATATGTTAAAATATTCATTAGATAAGCATCACACAAACATTATTTACTTATTTGATTATAAAATAGCTAAAGGAGTTTTTGTTTTTATTGAACTAGTGACAAAACCAAAAGACTAATCTAATAAACTAATACAGAGTTTATGCACAACCCCCACACTATGATTCACCCCCTAATGGACGAAATAAAATAAAAAGATTCCAATCAAGAAAAGAAAGACAAAACTCTAAAAGAAACCTAGAAAGATTTCATCACCATCAGAAATTTAGCACGCAGATTATTAGTTTATAGCTCTTGCTAACTATACCTCACCACCATATCACTCACAACACATCTTCAGGTTCTTCTTCTTCTATTTCATGCTCATAACTTAGATCTCCCAAGAACCCCCATAACAGTCTTCCTTGTGTCATCATCCTCCACTAGGCATTGTCTTTAACTCATTGACTGTGGCTCTAATCTGCTCTTGAACCAACTCTAATCTCCTCGAGTAAACTTCCAACTCAAGAATCTGCTGTCTCCTCCACCGTTCATCCCCTACTCCTCCTCCACCACCACCAAACCCTAGTGGATTTAGTGACGGCATTAACATTGGGCTTAACACACCCATACCATGAGCACCACCACCTCCTGGATATCCTCCTACCGCAGCCATCATCATCCCCGTCGTACCATTCATCATCTCTTTGATCAATGGCGATACACAACTCTTCACCGTCTCTTCTATCAACCCTCCTAGATTCCTTCCATCACTCAACTCACCAAAGACAGACACATTCTCAACATTAGTAGCTGCATTTGGCACTGGTGCATCAGACAGAGAGATGGGTTTGTCTTCATCAATCTTCCCTATCCTTGATCTTGGTCGTTTCCTCGACCCACTAGACCCTTTCTTTTCCAACACGTTTTCAGAATCAACGTCCACATTAGCATTATTACCATTAATGTGGTTATTAGTTTCCTCAAACTCCATCACATTGTTATCTTCAAACCCAATGATCTTCCCCGTCTGGTTCCAAATCTTCCTAGAGATATCGAAAGTGGCTTGATCATGAGAGCTTTTGAAGACCACCTCTTTACCCGAGCTGAACTTGCTCATCACGTTACGGTACTTCTTCTTCAACCTCCGTAGCTTCTCCACAAGCTGGTTCTTGTTGAACTCAAGCTGAAGCTTCGACTTGATCTGCTCGTAAAACGGCGCCGTGTCGGGAGGATGCGAGCTGCTACCACGGTGGCTCGTGATGTAGTCAAGAAACCCTCGGAGGAGCTCTATCTCGTCCTCGTCCGTCCACAGCCTCTGGAAAAGGCGTCTTGAATCGTCGATCGGTGGTGGCCTCAGATGGACGATCTCCGTCGTCGTAGTACGGTGCCATTTGGGGTCGGAATCAACGGGAATGGCGGCGACGGGGACGGCGGATCCGGCGGGAAGAGCGACGGTCACGGTGTTTGTTGCGGAGGACTTGGCCGTGGCGGAAACTAAGGGAGAATTCAGATCTTCGTATTCATGATCGTCTTCGTCGTCGGCCTCGTTAGGCTCAGGCATAACCTCGTCGGAATCAGTCTCTCCTCCTCCACCTCCTCCGCCGCGAGGGCTACCGTCTTCCTCCGGCTCGGGTGATTCAAGAGAGAAGACAGCCTCACGCTCGTCTGATGCCATCTCGACAAGATCGACAGGAAGTGGAAGTTAGAATTGTTTGTAGGAGGAGGAGCTCAGATCGAATCAGGACAGGAAGAGGAGAAGAACCAGATCCAGATGGAATTGGGTTCCTTTCACGAGGATTGATACGTTTTGAGTGGTAGGGCATGAGAATCGACGACACTAGCTAGGGTAGTTTTGGTATTTTAGGGTATTATGACCTGTGCATTGCAGGCATTAGTGTGGTCCAGACTCGTTCCCGTGTTTGGTTGTTGCGGTTTAGTTGAAGCCTGCTCATGTCTGAAAAGTCAACCACAGCTCACAGAAATGCGTTCTTCAAACGCGATTCTGTATATAATAAACGTTCACATAACGTCTTTATAAATGTATAAATAGAAAACATAAAATTCGATTTGATAGTGTAAACCTTTCCACAGAATGAAGTATTTACCAGTTCAATTCAAATGGAGAGAAGGAAACAGTTCAAGTCAACAATAACCGAAATTGAAATATTTTTTTTTCTTTCTGAAATTAACAATTTGAAACAGAGATTTATTTGGTTAAAGCAAAGTGCACTTCTTCTTCTTGTAATTGCCATCATCATCATGAAGAAGAAGGAGAAGGAGAAGAGCTCTAGTATAAACGGAACTTCTCCTTGGTGTTCTGGAACACTTGTTCAGCAATCGCAGCTCCATTCCCGTCTGCTTTCTTGATCTCCAGGTTCGATTTCTGGTACACACCAGTGCCTCTCAGAGCATCAGCTATAAAGTCATCAAACCCTATGGCTATGGCTGCTTCAGCTTTCGCTCCGTATACCAATCTCTGTTCACCATGACTCACCAATTAGATATCCATGATAATGAAGGAGATAAGAAAGATGGGTGTTCGTGTTTCTATATTATACCTTGAGTCTGGAGAGATGGATGGCTCCGAAACACATGGGACATGGCTCACAGGATGCGTAAATTTCGCATTCTGATAGCTCGATTTGGTTAAGTTTCTTGCATGCCTGCGTGTTCCACAGATGGATTTTATATCATTGTTAGAAACAAGCAAATGTTACAAGACTCCATAGCAACAGATATAGTCATCAATGCACGGAATACTCTGTTTTTTACCTCTCTAATGGCGGTGACTTCGGCATGTGCAGTAGGGTCAGTGTATTTCAAAACCATGTTGTGGCAGCTAGCGACGACCTCATTCTTATGAACAATGACAGCGCCAAAAGGGCCACCATCACCACAGTCAACACCCTTGTAAGCTTCTTCAACAGCTTGGGTCAGGAACTTGTGGTCACTGTCTTGCACAGCTGATCAGAAAAAAAAAAGACAAAAGTAGAAACATAAACACCATGATACAAAGAATGTGGGAAAAAGAGAGAGTCATGATAGGGTAAAAGATTCAAAATCACAAGGGATATGACAAAGGGAACAAGAATTGGGGGGAATATATGATACAAGACATCAAGGTGCATGCATGCATACATACGGCATACCTTGTTGGTGACCGGCAAATGCAGTAGCGACGGAGATGGTTCCGTCTTTTGCTTCCACTACACAAACATTCAAATGAGAGAGCAATCAGATCTTCCAAACACAGAAACACCCAAAAATAAATAAATAAAAAATCCACACAGCTTGCATTATACGCACAATCGCAGCGGCCATTGATCAAGAACAGCTCAACAATTGATCAAGAACAAACAGCTCATTCTTACTCACAAAGTACAAGTTAGCATAGAAAAGAGACATACACCGCTTCCAAGCAAAGATGACACAAAGCAAGTGAGTGGCATCTGTAACTAATCTAAGCGTCATCTAAAAAATCCAAGGAAGATCTGAAACTAGGATGATTGCATGAATCAAACTCATGTAAAAAGATCTAATAACAGAGAATCCACTATATGTCACCAAGTCGTCTGTCATAAACAAGGAGCCATAACTTGTTTCAATTAACCTAAAATTTATGATCAGGTTTTTTGCATGTGAAATTATAGTCCCCAAATCAAAGGCAAATTCTAGATTCCCTATCTTAATCTGGGAAAAAATAAGAACACAAATCTGAGAAAATAATCCAAAAACGCAGGAGAGAGAGTTGATCTGTGGGGGAAAATAAACAAGAACACGATCGATTCGGTTTGTTCAAATCCAAATCTCGTCCAGAAGAGAAAGTAAATTCTCCGATCCCGATCGTGGGAACGGTGTGTGATTGATGATCATAATGCAAGGATTATAGGTGAGAACGGCTTACCCTTAGCTTCTTCCATTACTGACGAGAGGATTTGAGGGATTTGGTTTCGAGCAGAATTCTAGAGAAATCCAAGAGGCGATCGTGTGGTGTGTGTGTGTGTGTGTAAATGGTTGAAGAAGAGGAGACCCAAATGATGTGCTTTTTATACACACTAATCAGAAAGGATAGAGACCAACTTAATAAGCAATTGATTTCTGTGATGAGAGAGAGATTATTTGGAAAGTGAAACTGCTATATAAGAAAGGAAACAACCAAGAAACACCCACACACCAACAAAATATAATTTGCCTTCATTAGCCGAAAGAGAGGAATGTATTTCTTATTGATAAGATATTATTTACAACCAAAAGTTTCCTTAATTACAATATTTAGATATACACAAATCCCCCTTCAAGTAAAATCCCATTAGTTTTTGCAATTCTGCATTGTTATCTATTATATTAAAAGAGAAGTCATGACTCACTTCATATGTGATATTTTAGTTTGGACCATCTTTAAAGTTTTATAAAATTTTACATAACATGATAATATCTTTCATATCTTTAATTTTTTGTTTGAAATACAAATAAATAGTTTTAAGAAAATTCTAACAAAATCTTTTAGAATCTTTTTCAAGATATAATTTCAAAAATTATTTGATTAAAATCTTAATATCATAAAATATAATTAAATTTTAATTCATTTTAATTTATAAACAAAAAATTGAAATTATGTAAAATACTTTTAACAATATCCCAAAATTTTGTTTATGTATTATGTAGGTCCAACTTAATTAATTTTTACATAGATTTTAAATTTAGAAATAAAACAAAATATATAAATTAGTAATCTTACATAATAATTCAATTATTACAAAAATACAAATTTATAAATTTTATAAATTTTATATTAATAATATTATAAGTCACATAAAAATGATTATAAATTGGATAACATAAATAATCAAATTATACTTATTTATTGATAAATTTTATTATATAATTTTAAATATTAACCGTGCGGGTCGAAATCTAGTTATTATTATATAAACAAATTAGCTTTCTCATATATCCTTCTTGATACAAGATTACAAACTTTGGGAAAAAAATACAAGATGTAAAAATATAGAATATTCCGTTTTATATATGTATAAGTTAGTTGTATTATAGAAGAAAATAATGAAAATGGGAGAATAATAGAACCGGCCGGGGATAAGTCAAATGACTCAAATACACGAATTGGGATGAGGACGCAGGTGCACGTTATCGTTTTCGTAGATAAGATTCATCGTCCGTCCATATAATGTATATTGGTTTTTTTTTTTTTTTTTTTTTTAAAAAACTTAATATTTAACATTTACACCAAAAAAAAAGTCTAATATTTTTTATGAGACATAAATGTCACAGTTTAATAGTAGGGGATGTTATGAGCAGAGCAGGTACCTGAACAAAAAGTATTGTAAACTACCAACCATGATCAGTGACAAAATTGCATGTGAACTAAGCAGTGGTAGACAGCGATCCTGGTAGGTGTGGTAAAAAGAAAATTTTGAGACAATAAATAAATTCGTTGAGTTGGATTTGAATCATGCCAGGAACTAAATTGATAATGTATTTTAACCAGACGAAAATTAAATCACGATTTAAATTTGGACACAATCTCCAAAATCACACATTTTTAAATTTATGTCACAAAATAGTTCTAAAAAACTAAAATGACCAAAATAACATTTTATTTTATGAAAATTTTTTTTCAAAATTTGAAATCTTATCCCTAAATCCCACTCCCCAACACTAAACCCTAAAACTTAAATTCTAAATCATAAACTCTAAACCCTAAATTCCACTCCTTAACTCTACACCCTAATGTTTAAATTAATTTATCATTGAGATATATGTGTATATTTATCTCTTTTGATAAAATATTTAATGCTATTTTAGTCATTTTTATTTTTAAGTGATATATTTGTGACAAAACTTTTTTAGTATTATTTTAATCATTTTCTATTTAATTTTATAAGAAAGTTTAGAGTCGAACTAATCGTCGACGTCGATGTTATTTTTGGGGTTAGTTGGATTTCAACTCACACACCCCAAAATTAATCAAATATATATATATATATATATATATGCATGTGTAGTATCGTTACTTAACATGTGAGCTTATAAATTATATATGCTTTTAATTATTGAACGAGAGAGATGATGCAAGACGTCAAGACATGTGAGTTAGTTAAACGAATAACGGAATATAAAAACGCATCTCTATTGACCTTCACATGGAAACGCATCGACGGTCTTTTTAATTTAACTTTTCTAGTAGGTGAATTACTTTCTTTTTAGGGGGAGATAAAGCATGATAATGGAACTTCATTTAGAAGAAACTGTTATACGTTACAAGGGAATATGTCAAATATGGATGGTTGGAAAATAACTTATCTAGAAACTTTTATAAGAACACGTTTCGCTAAACAGAAAAAGGAGCTAGCAACATTGTTTTTGGTGACTTGGTCCTTCAGTGATTAAATATTTACGCAATCAAATAAAATTAATTATATAGGATCTCAAGACTGTACATTCTCGCGTATACGTTTTCAATTCTTTCCCTAATCTTCCAATCTTGCCTCCCTTTTAAAAAAAGATTAATGGACCTAAAAAGAATGCGTAACAAAACATTTAACATTTTCTTATCAAAATCTTTAACACAACTTTTCTTTTTCGTCCGAACATAATGTAAACCTGCTAATCTTCCGAGTCTATAAAACAAAAGGTAACTTATCAAATATAGAAAAAGACAAAGAAGACTCAAAGATTATGGAATGGAGTTAGCGTCATTTTCTATCAGATTATATAAACCTTTTGGGTCAATAATCCTAACACATTTTCCATTCAAGGACATCCCATAAAAATTGGAACGATAAATGGAGAAATGGTTCAAATTCAAATTTTAGTTTGCACAAAGAAAAAAACAATCCTAACACATTTAACACATGATCAAAGTTTCAGTTTATAAATTAGTATAAACTGAGATAAGAATCCTGTGAAAGAAAAGCAATGGTAACTTTTTTTATTCAAGTATTTTATTGCACTCTTTCGGCGATACATAAAGAAGATACCACAACTTTTGCAAAGCAGAAGAGAGTTCTTTACTTCCAACCTATTTCAAAGCCCGCTTGAAGCAGAAGCATTTACTTGACCTTTGACTGACACTTCACCAAGTCATACTGCATCTCAATATGACTCAAAGTTCTTCTGTGAAGATCCTAAATCGTAGTTGTTGCAGGCTCAAAACAATGATATTTTCAAGCCAACTGATCCAATATGTAGAATGTAGTAACCAGTTGTTTTGTATACCCAAGGTAGTAAACACTAACGACTTGGCTTATCGGATAAGAACTCACAGACAACTAATTACGTATTAAAACCCTGTCGAGCTGGCGACAAATAAAAGTTGTAATATTCTTTAGTTCTTTAACTTTACTACATTCATATTTAGAATCATATTAAAATAAATAGAAGTTAAATTCAACATCACTATTATGTAACCAAATATTACTTAACGCTACTATGGCTGAAATTACGCTAGTATCGTAGTTATCAAAGGATTTTGAAGAGAAAGCAAAAAGAGAAGATGTTTAAAATAAAATGTATTCAACAAAATCTTAGCACATGGTTTCTCTAACGCTCAAAGCATAATCCAAACGAAGAAAGAACACGAGTGTGACAATGAGAAGCAAAACATGGCCATAAACAAGGGAAGATGCAGAACAAACCCATAACGATCCTCTGCGCTCTTCAACAACTCCTCACTTCTTCTTGGGGTCACCAGCCTTGGTCTACACAAACCAAAACCATTTAATAAAAAAAAAGAGCAAAAAAACAAACAACTGCAATTGTAGGTTAGAGTTGGGTTTGGTCTCACCTTCTTAACACCACGGATTTTCTTAGCCCTGTTCTTCCTCTCCTTAATCTGTTTCCTTGATTTCTCAATCTTGGTGTCAAGTCCGTTCTGTCAATCACAACAGAAAACATTTTAGCATGACATTAAAGAGACTGTCAATTAACTCAAACAGGTCTGACTCTTATATTGCCACATCTTTTAACACCACCATCATAAGCTTCATAGCAGGGCACGCAAAATAAAAGCACTAAAGAGTTAAGCTCCACTAAAAAATGACACCAAAAGCTTAACTACATAGATGCACTAACCACTGCTATGAAACAAATGAGAACGGGAAATAAAACTTAATAACTGCTATGAAAAAAGCGATCCCTAAACTAGAGGGAGGTTTTACCAGAGAGGAAAGACATTGCTATTAAAGATAGTTAAAGCAGAAATAGGACTTACCCTGATCAGCCTGTACTTGGGCTCAAACTTCTTGGCACTCTCGACATTGTCATAGATCAAACCAAATCCAGAAGATTTACCACCTCCAAAGTGGGTTCTGAATTTGAAAACAAAGATTGCATTTGGGTCCTTAACCTCGTACATCCTTGCCAACTTCTCCTTGAGCTCAGCCTTCCAAAAACATTACAATCAAACAAAACAACAATCAGAAACTTCTCAAAGAAAACACTAAAGACTACAAAGCTAGATAGCTTGACTGTAATAAACACGACCATGAACGTAGTAAAGATCATACCTTTGAGACATTAGCTCTTCCTGGGTGAAGAACATCAATAACCTACATATTCATAAGCCACCACCGTCACTAATCAGTACATACGATCTACTTCCTCGTATAAATTTAAAATCTTTCAGAGGAAAACAGAAGAGAGACTAAGATTTTCTATCTCCCTACAGTTCCTATCATCATTTCATAGAGACAGAGAGACAGATGAAGGATTGAAACTCACAAACTGCTTCCTGGAGAGAAGCCTGTTGGTCATGAACTTCCTGGTCCTGATGGTGACTGCTTTCTCCGCCATGGCTGCGATTCCTCCAACAAGATCAGACTGATAATCGACGAGTTTTCTCTCTCGCTGCAGCCTTTGAAGAAAGAGAAGCAGCGGTTGAAAACCCTAGCTGCTTATATATAGCTCTCACTTTCACGTTTTTAGGGTTTCTTTTCTTACTGGTTATCGATTGATGGGCCATATTCTTTAGCTGAAAGCCCATTAGGCCTAAACACTACTATACTCCCTCACCAGAATTCACTAATTCAGTGTCCTCACAAGATTTTAAGAGCGGTTATATCTACATTATTAAAACTTAAATACAATTTAAAACTAACCCTTAATTTTTCATTATAATTACAAACGAACTAGGTGGCTTCCTGCGCCATGTGCAGAAATAAAAGTTTTAAAAATTAATTTATATTTTAAAATAAAATTTAATTAATTTTTAGATTTATTATTTTATTACATTATTAATTTTACATTAATTATATGTAAAAATTAAGAGAAAATAAACAGTTTTATTTAAATATATGAAATTTCTCTCAAATAGAACTTTTTTAGGTTTTTTCACAAAAATAGATCTTAAAACTAAAATGACAAAAACAACATTTTTTATTTTGAAAATTTCAATTTTTTTTCATAAAATTTCTAATCCTATCCCCAAAACCCCACTCCTCAACTTTAAACAAAAAGATTTACGATTAGTTAACCAAAATGATATAAGTGTATATTTACTTATTTTTGATAAAACATTTAAGTCTATCTTGGTCATTTTTATTTTAAGGTATATATTTGTGATTAAAACTTTTTTCTAGGTCTATCTTAAAAAAAAATTCTTAAATTTATATTTAATAATATATATATGTATCTTTTATCTCTTGGTTAAAATATATTAAATCAGATTCTATACTATTAAGAGAAAATTTTGTTAGATATATAATTATCAAAATATAAAACTAAATAATATTTCTAAAATTTATAGATGTTATAAATAAAGCTAATGGTATTGGGATTAGAAAATTTTAATTTGAAAAACTGCATAAAAGTTTGAAAAAAGATTATTAATAAAAAATATATAATTATAAAAATACACTTAAAAATATATCAATATTTGTAATATTTTTATATTTATATTTATACTATTATATTATTTATTATCTTAATGATAATTTATAAGTTCTTTTTCTTATCACTATTTTAATACAAATTTTTGTTTAATCAAACATAAATAGTAATATAAAAATATTTTTTTCAATTTTAAATTATATTTAAGAATATGCATGTATATATTTAAAACTATAATCTTAGATAATTTTTTATCAATTTATTTTAATTAAATATATTAAATAAATTTGTAGAAAATTTTATAATTATCAAAAATTAAAATTAGACAATATTTATTAAACTTTTAAATATATAAGAAATTAATAATTTTACGATTAAATTTTAATAATTTTCAAAAATGTATACATTTTTAAAAATTTTGTAATAAATTATATAGTTTTAAAATATATAATTAAATGATATTTTCGAAATATTTAATGCCATATTGGTATATATTTATTTTAATGATGATTTATTAGTTATTAACTTATTACCATATTTTAAAAATATTTCCAAAAAAATAAATCGACATTAAATGTAATATATGAGTTGTTACCATATTATATAAAGTTTTCCAAAAATATATATTAACATTAAATGCAATTGTCCATGTCATCCCCTATATATTAATTGAGAAACATTTGAAAAGATGTAACCTCAAGTTTGTATTAATTAAAAAGTAATCTTGCTTAATTGTCAATCAATTAGCATACCAATTAAACTGACGTGGCAGCTTTAGGTTCAATTGAAATTTGCTAGGGAAAAATAATTAGAGACGCATATAACGCATGTAACATAGTTTATATATTTATATATATCGCACGCATGTAATGGAAGAAAAGGAAAATATACGATTTGCATATATTAACTATAATAACTTCATTCCTTTTAATTTATGGAAGTGTATATGTAAAATGGAAATTACTTTGTGACCAAGTACATACTTAATGAGTTAATGGTAAAGGCAAGTGTATATGTAAAATGTAAAACTTAATATGTTAACTTGGGAATTTATGTTAAACTTTCGATTTTTTCGTATAAGTTATATTTTGAATTTTTTAAAACGAGAATAAATAACTAAACTATTAAAATTATTATGTTAAAAATTAATGATCAATAGTTTAACATTTTTATTATAAAAAGATATACATGATTTTAAAACCATATAAGTAAGTATCATTCAATAATAAAACAAATATATAGACAGATTAAACTATATACCATATAAGATTACATAAATATTTTAATTTCAAAATTTTCAATAAATTTTCAAGAACATTTATAAATTATAAACTTATTAAATTTTTCACATTGAAAATTTTTGTTATCAATGATTTAAATATCTTAGTTCTTTTTTAATTTTATATTTTTAAAAGATATTAA